GTCCTAGGCCCCTGGGTGGGGCCCGACTAGTAACCAACGCCAAATCCGGCGAAACAACTGGCCGCTGTGATACAATTGTATAATAATAATAATAAAAACTAGGACTGTTGTTATTAATGGGAATGTTTTCCAACCTAGTATTCATTTCCTATCAAATCAAGCTGGATTTCAGTGGAATGAATGCCCCGTCAGGGCACTAAGAACTGCAGCCTTAGATGTTGATGTTTAAAATCGAATTCCAGTTCCAGAATATATTGTCAACAGGAACTGTAGCTACTGGCCTTGCTTTGGTTTTTATTGATAGATTAAAAATATTTCGGTTCCACTTCTTATTTTAAATGTCCCAAAATACAAATACTGACCACTCTAGCCGTTTTAATTATTTAACCACACCATTATGATTTTTTCTCTTCTGCTCCGAAAAATAAAACCCACAAGAGATCATACAGGTTTGCAGCCTGTGGTTCTTAATTCATTATTTCCTCCCTGGCCTTCAGCAAGCGAGAGCTTGGTGCTTGCCATGCTACTTTTATTATGCTTGCATGATATATGCTGCAGCATTATTTTTTAACACAATATTTAAGGTACATCCTTCTTCTATATTTTGCCCGGCTCAGGAATTCTGGGAGTTAAAATCCATAAGCCATAAAAGGGCCATTGTTTCCCCATCCCTGCTCTACAATGAGGCCCTCTATGTTAACCTTAAATTAAGATGTGTCACATTGTGAAATGTATATTTTGTTACTCTGACAGAAGAAGGAATGTGTTTGGAGGTTACACAGTCAATCTGGAGGTATATTTTCTTCTCCTCATCTACACCTGCTTCCACATCACCTGTACGTTGGTACTCTGGGAGGACAACTACTTGCTGTTAATCCTGTACGTAACTTCCTAGTTCTGCATGCATGAAGTTTTAGATTCACCACAGGCTTTGAAAACTCTGAATAAAGGGGCTGCAGAGAAGATGACTTTTGATAATAACATTACAGTTACTGAACAAACACCTTGTTCTTTACCCCTGCAAGGATTTCAAGCTACATTAGCATATATTAATTCAAAGTAATTATAGAAAGGACACATGTTAAGGGATCAGAAGCTAATTGCTTTATTTATCAGATCCTTGTAATTTAATTCTTTTGGAATTGTAACCATCTATGCAAAATGGTATCGTATTTACAGAGATGTGTACACAAGTAAAAATTAGTGAACGGTTCTGCATAGGTATTACTGCAGGAGTGAATAAGCACTCTTCATTATTTAATATGATTTCATGTTGCCTTACTTCAACAATAGATGTCTTTTCTTTAAAATATTTGAAATATAGGAAAGCAGAAATGGTAGCTGCTCCTTTGTTATCTGATTAAATTAGGTAACTATAACAAACTGTCTCTTCCTACGTAAGAAGGCATAGAGAATGACCTTGAAGGATAGGAAAAAGAGCTGTTACCAAGGCAATGGTTAGATAAACAGGGCTTGAGCCCAGAGTAGCAAAGTAATTAGAGAAAACAGCCCCTTCCCTAGCTCATATGAAGATGACGTAAGGGAGGGGGAAGCACATTCAGACTTGCAAGGTTCTGTAACTGTAGCTCTTACAATAAAAGTAATCCTGTCCTATATGGCATCGGTTTCTATTATGATCTACCTCGTAAGATTGACATATAGGCGTTTCTGAGAATCTGAACTTGTAGGAACATGTTGCTTTTTAGTTAATTGCTTTGTTTCCAGTCTTTGTTTGAATGTCTTAATTCCTCATTAGTTTAACATTTGGAGCATCTTAAGGCAACTGGTGTTGATTATTTGCTTTTGCAGGTTATGGGGAAAACTGTTTGGAGAACCATTTGTGGGAAACCTATCTTCTCCTCACCACATTGCGACAAAGATTATGTATATGTTGGCTGCGTGGATGGAAATCTATACTGCTTTAGTCACTTTGGAGATCAGGTTAACATTATTGTACTATTTAATAGTTGAAACCTCTAAAATAACTAGATCAACCTGGGTTGTTTTTACTATTAACTTTAGATTTTGTTTTTGTGTTGACCATAGAAGCTTTTTTAAAAAAAATATCTGCCATTTTGCTTCTCACAGTAGTTTATTAAATGCCTGTGAAGAGACCCAAAATAGTCCAGGAAGCCACAGTATTCTTCCAAACTGGTCAAACTGGTCAAATGCAGCATACATCACTGTTCTGACCACCCTTCTCCGTCCAGGAACGAAAGCCGAAACCAACATAAATGAGAAGGTTTCTTTTAATCAGTCAAAACTCTCGTTGGCTGCAAGCCACATAAACAAAGAAATAAGCACTCTGGCAGCAAGTCCCACAAAGCTTGGCAGCAATGCAAACAAACTCTGGCAGCAATCCAGCCTGTAAAGTTTGTTCCTTGTTAGTCCTTAACGTTGACTTCTGCAAAAGGGCGTGGCACAAGCAGTCTCTTTTATAATCAGGAGAGGATCTCAATGAGCATCAGCTGAGCGTAATCATCTATAATTACGCAGTTGTTCTTGCTGCCGAGTAGCCCTTTGGCGGCGTGCATCCCGGAACAACTCACAGGTGTTTTCTGGAACACTCCCTCTTGTCTCCTCCCCACTGATCCAAGGCTCCGGCGCCACCTGGTGGCCAACCAGTCTCTCCTCACCCTGCTCGGAGTCTAACCCTGTCCAGGGTCCTCCACCTCCTCTAGGGCCGACTCATAAGACCCCTCGCTGTTGGAGTCTGGCGGCAGCTCCAACAGCTCCTGCCGGGCCACAACACATCACAATATATAAGAATCATAGGCTAATAACCAGAACTGGGCTCTCATACAACATGGAACTTGTGCCAATCATAGAGTGGGGCAATTCAGGATGGGTATGAAACTCACTTGAGAAAAGAATAGAGTGAGAATCCTGCTTTTGATTTGCTGCTCCAGAATACCGAAAAGCACAAGACATTATCAGTGCAAGCAAAATGGTGCTATCCTGGCTTATTTTTCTAATCCTTTGACATCTGATATAGAAACTCTTGGTGCGAGAAGGGAAAATTGGATCCATAGTTGATAGCTTCTTCGTCAAACCATACTGAATGTTGTGACTGGGTAGGTTCTGAGATTGTGAGGAATTGACACCTAGTCATTGTTGCTGCTGTCACACTTTCCCGTTGAGCAATCTGATGCAAAGAACCAACTGATTAATGCTTGTATCATTCCTGGTCTCTCGTGATTATACTTCATTTAGCTCCTTCCATCTCCATTCCTTTCTTCCTCTCCTCTTCATTTCTTCTCACAGTGTCTTCTGCTCTGTTGATTTGCCTTAAAGGCATTTTCGAATTGCTCTTTCAAAATTCTTCTTTCTTGCTCGTTTGTTCTCCCTGCCTATTGTTTGTTATCGTTCGCTTTTGTTTTTTTCCCCAACCATGTAAATAATTGCAAAGAATGCATTCTTGCGTGTCATCCTCCTGTGGGTTTAAACATTTTGCCTCTTAATAACTTCGTATGCAACTCTCCCATCCGCATCTTGGGCTCTACTGATAGAGAATGCCTACTGGTACAATAAATAGTGACACCACAGCGATTGAGTGTAGAATGTCACCAGGGGTGGGCTGCAACCAGTGTAACAACTGGTTCAGTGATCGCAGGTGCCTAATGCACTTGCGCGCAACATTCACAATATAGCAATTTGAAGCTCAGCCACTTACCTTATAAGGCAGCCCTGATAACTAGAACACTGGAGGCACGGAAAACAGCTGTGCCGTGAGAATCAGCTGAGCCAGAAGGAAATATAGGAGATGATAGAGTGGGTGGTATTTTCTCCAGGGAACAATGGTAAAATTCTCCTTCTACTAAATTACTTGTGGGTCATTAATATATTATTGTTGTTAGCTGTGAAGTCGTGTCCAACCCATCGCAACCCCATGGACAACGTTCCTCCAGGACTTCCTGTACCATTCTCTGGAGCCCCATTTAAGCTCATGCCTACTGCTTCAGTGACTCCAGCCAGCCACCTCATTTTCTGTCGTCCTCTTCTTCTTTTGCCGTCAATCTTTCCTAGCATTAGGCTCTTCTCCAGTGAGTCCTTCCTTCTAATTAGTGTCCAAAGTATTTGAGTTTCATCTTCAGGATCTAGCCTTCTAAAGGGTTGATCTCCTCTAGGACTGGCC